TCAGCTACGAAACTTCTGGAACACAACGAAGTGACAGCAAATCTAGACAGCTATTGGACTAAAGTTCTGTAAATTGAGTTCTACAGGTTCGCTAAATTGAGCCAAAAATCAATGTGACTTTGTCACATGAAGGCACCTTTTCGCATGTGGCTTTAACGACCATAAAATTCTGATATATTTTGAGCAAAAACTTTCTTGCGCTCCCGTTATATTGGACTGGGTATAAAACCGTATCCTTATTTATTGCCTAGCTTCCATAATTGTCGTTTTGCTAAAGGCCAAATATTATTTACTGTGCTCTCTTGCTAGTCGTTCATTTTGTTCATGTCATAAAATCTTACATGAAATTAAAGTGCCAGAGTAGCAAGATTTTTACAATGCAGCATTTAGCAATCAACAAACGAAGGATTATGTAAGAAAAGCGAAAGGCAAACACAGAAAGAATGTTTTCAATAAGCGAACAGCTCTCTCTATGAGGTTATAACAGCTCTAGGTCAGTATATTGAAAGCAAGAAAAAGGCACTAAAAAATATCGTCTCGATAAATTCCTTTTCACTTTTTAGGGGAAATGGTTCTTTAGTCAAAAGGTAGAGGGGGACAATGGAAGCTGGAGAAATGAAATCCTAAGTGAAATGATTATATTGCAAAAGTTAGCAATGCCTGAGTTGAAATGAAAAATGGAATTATTATTGATCTAGTGCGGAGTTGATTTACAGTTCTATCCCGATGTCGATAGCGTTGAGGTAGGAGTCCAGCTACTAGGTACGCACGACTACATAGACGTTATGGAAAAGAGCAACCGGGCGAATGACGCCGTCGGAAAGTACGTAGACACTTCAAAGATGAAGCGGGTGGGTCGACATCGAGGTGTAAATAGATGCCATTGAAAAATATCAAGGAAAAGGCGTCGGGACCAGCATAGCCAGATAGACTGATATGGATGAATAGGAAGGCCATCAACGACACTGAAAAGGAGAATCAAACTGAAGCTTCCCTAAAAGATAATTACAAATAAAAACAGAACAAAAAGCATCGTTTCGTACAAACCAGACTAGTGCTAATGACTGTGGATGGTGGAAAGGAAGATGTGATGAAGTTTCTACTCTAAATGCAAACCAGAATGCAACATTAACTTAGCAACCTTTAACATTTCATGCCTTTCATGCTACTAGCAGTAATTAATAGTGTGCGAAATCAACTCCAACAGTTTTTACCAAAAACGTCAGTTTAGGGAAGCGGTGCCTCACGTGTAGACCGGAAAGGCACATCGCTAACAAGCCAAAGCACTGTTATTACGATAATGTAAACGGTTTAGCATCCATGGTGAGTGGTGGCACAGGTGAAGTAAACAATGCCTATTCTGCGATTACTTAAGACAAATCTTAATTGATGCCCAAAGGCTGACAACATTTAATAAATGACCCCAGCGACATGAGTCGGTCTGTGCGTTAAACCTTATGAGCTCAACAATGGGAGAGCTGGGACAGAGGATCTGTGCCTAAAACATAGACCAAGCTGTAGTCTTCGTCGTGACCAATAACAAACTCTATATAACCCATGAATGAATAGGGAAAAAGAGGGGCTTCACGCGATTCAAAGGGAGAAACCTCGAAATCTCTGTATCATGCTTAATTCCAAATGAAAAATTCTACGTACTTAAAGAAATAATATGAATTAACCATTACAAAGCACCATAAACTAACAAATTTTATGCAACAAAATCGAAAAGTAATGACAGTTTAGATACAGAAGGAACACTTACAGATGGATCACAGCGGTTAATTTAAGCACCCTAAATCACCATATGGTACCCGCTTCATTAGAAGAAGCCAGATTTCAATTATAGACTTGTGACAATGCCGCAACGAATAATTCAGAGAGAAGCGAAAATGTTGGCCAAATTTGACAATTTAAGCGACTATAACTGTGTACAAGTACACGCACAAACAACGACAAGGAGATACAATACTGAACAAATATGGCTACAGAGGAACATGTATCTTCTTAATTAATTAACTGTTAAAAGAAGCGGCTACAAATTTGGTGTAGTCCCGTGCAATAGTGATTTGTAAAACTAAAATGCTGTTTTGCAGAAAATAGTGTTTTTCTGCATAACAGCGAATTACCCGAACCACGCACTGCACGATTCGGGTCCTATTGTGCACACTGCACTAAAAAACAATGGGTAAGGACTTGCATGCAGTAAAGGTTACCCGGGTTACATCTAGAACCGTACAGGTATAGAAAAACCAGATGAAAATCAGCATTTCTTATCGTGAAAGCAACGAAACCAAACGGTAATCTATCTGTGATAAAATTAACGACTTACCATGGAAAGTAGGCAAAAAGAGCGAATTATAAGTCGCAGTGAACATTAGCAAACATAATTGATGTGCTTTTTTGGTAGATATTGGTCAAAAACACAAACTCGCTATGGCGTCCACAAAAACGTAGCTAGGGTTGGTGGGGTTCCTAAGTGAAAGAAAAAAATGAGGAAACTTACAAACAGGTACAGAATAAATCGCTGAACCACCCCAAAAGACGAAAAGACTTGAAAATCACGCCTCATAGAGAAAGGGCAGTTATATACAACGGCGCAATTCCGAAGCTGGTAACACCGGTAAATATGTCCAAAGTAGGAAGGTCAGGAGACGTAAATAGGTAACTGCTGGACTCTGTAATCAATTTACTAATATAATGTGTAGCACTAATTATCAGCAGAGAACATCGAAATAAGCTGATTGTGCGCTCCCTAAATGATTTTCAGAGCAAACCGTCCTTGAGATTGTGGAGAACACAAACGACGGTATCGGCAAGTGTGGTGATTGTCTTGGCAGGCATAATGTCTGGGAAGTTTTTCATCGAAAATAGAGAAAAAGATTCAGTAATCAAATGATAAGACCTAAAAAACTATGTACAGAGCTACGGGTAAATGACAAAGCTGGTTGAATAACCCGACAGAAGGCACCGAAGAATAAATCACGGTGTTGATAAAGGAACCTCAAGAAATGGCTTTCAAAAGTACACTTAAATGGCTAATCCGTAGAGTTCGGAAAGCAAAGCCACATCCTATTCTAATCAGCTCAATATTTATCAATAAGATAGCCGAAAAGGCATGCTTTCCTAACCAGCATTACAGGTTAGGAGTTAATAGTGGACGAACCCTTGCTGCCGAAAATCAAGGACATGAAACTTTCTAGGATAAAACTCTATCGGACGACGCAAGTATTCAAAAGACATATCGAGTGTATATTTTTGAGGGAACGAACAAATACGCAGAAATGCAATTTTAACTTATAGTAACTTGATAAATTGAACATCATACCTAGAATAACGTATTCGTAACGAAGTAAAAATTTAATTCTCGGTAGTAACCGATAGATCGGAACCCGTAAAATAGTATCTTCAAAGAAAGCTGTGTACAGTTAAATAGGTCACTGGTCTGACATAACTGTGTAATATTAAGCAATAAATTCTAGCTACTACCAGACTAGTCATACTCAAAGGTAACTACATAAATAATAATATAGTGAGTGAGATTATCAAAATATAGTGAACCATAATTTATTGTAGTCTAAAATGAGTCTACCAACTTAAAAACCTTGTGAAAAAAATAACAGCAGGGATACTGTGCAGAATTACGCGAGAAAGCACAAAAGTTGGAAACCTTCAGTATAGCTAAAGGTATAAGGAGGATAGGTAAAAAGCATTTAAGTAACCCTATTAAGTTGATGCATGCGATTATTAGAACTAAGCTGATGTTGAAATGCTGCAGAATATATAGGGTTATTCGTTCTCAATGATTCAAATATATGGAAAAAGATATTGTCCAGAGATTGCTACTCAATTATAGATTTGAAACAAGGAATTGAGGAAATGTTGATGGCTATATCGTATACTGTACAATAAGTGTGCTGCAGTTTGTAGGACGTTTCTGTATCACCTATAAAACGTTTTAAGTCGACCTTGTCTGTAGCTGTTACTCCACGTCCTAGATGAATCATTTAAGAACCGGTAGACTGGACGGGGACCGATCACAAAACATAAACTAACTAGAGAAACAAACTCACTGATGTCCCATGAATGGTTTATTTCATTTTCATTATTTATATTTTCTTTTATTATAATTAGGTGTGAATGAATGATACACGGGGACTTGCTAACCAAGTGCATAGGTTTCCTCGTACGTAAAAGTGGCTCAGCGAACGTTTTCAATTGATAAAAAAGTGTATTCCATGGTAAAAAAATTACGGAAAACTATGCTGTTCTTTGAATTTTAACAGAGCAGCCCGAAAACACAAGATCTAAACCAAAAACTCATCTTTTTAATGCCAATCTTTAGCCTTCACTAAGACACTCAATACTCATGTTTAATATACTTCTGTAGGGCTAACTGATACATTGAAGAAAGCGTGAGAACCAAAACATATTTGCTAATCGATCCCACTGCCATGGCACTTCTGGGGTGTTAGCGATCCATAAAGGATCTTTTGGACTATCGAATCAAGTAGGACTATACAAGGCTCACCTTATAAGCGTCTTTTATCTAAACCACAAAATAAATGGACTTTGCTTAACCGCTGGTTATTAATTTATTCTTTATAGCAGCAGTATATAGGACTGCTTTTGAACAGATCAATTTGTTTTTGTGTTTTTTATTTAATCCTTTTTTCATCATTTTTACCATAACCACTCAAATGATAACCACTGCGGTATACGCCCGCCGCGAAGACTTCCCCGTGTTAAAACATGCTCGGATCACCTGCTATGTTTAGGATTCGTGCTGTCAACCTTGAGCCCGTCTGAAGTTCAACACCGGCGGCGTGACGTTACGATTATCGGGCCGACAGTGTCGCCAACGCTTAGACACAATAAATTTGATCCGTTTTTTCTCTCTTGGCCTCAGCTTGTTTCTTGAAAATTTTGTCAACAATCGTTCTCTGTCTCAACATCACACGGCGAGCATACGTTACTATCGCAATGTGTTACAAGGATGAGTGTTTTTTTTTTTTTGCTGGTGCTAAATACACCCTTGCTACACGTACGCAACGCTATACCCAGAAAGCAGGAGATGTCCTCGCGTCGGGCGCGAGGCGCGTCTCAACACACCAGACTCACACGAAAGCAAAAAAGTAGCTCGCCTCTCTCTTGATGGCCGTTCCGTTCTTTTATGCTTCACATCAGCGCAGTAGCTTTTCGTGTCTATCTCTTTCGCTATGTTACCAGGATACCATCGTTAGAAATTTGCCGCAATAATGATTAATGTCGTGCAATAGTTATTATGACCGTCCTTATACTGATAATAATCAACCAAATTGATCACCGTCGCATCCTCATCGCGCTATCTTTATCTGCAGTAGTTTATCAGTTATTGTGATTATTGTTATTGTAATGATAATTATTATTATCAATATTATCATCTCATGCTCACCATTAGTATAGTGATCTGATCATGTCAGCAACAGTATTCTCAATATAATTACCGGTAATAATATTATAATTCCCACCGACTCATTACTAATTATACAAACACAGTCTCTGTCTTGTTTGCTTTCCTTTATTCCTCATCGATAGCTACGACTGAGTTTGTCTATGCCTATCGTCGCGTAGGTGAGGAGTTGTTTCAAACCGTCCCTTCTCCTGTGCCCCTCTCCTTGCTTCGTTCGTCCATGCCCCCCATTCTCTCTTCACCGACAGCAGTAGTGTAGCATGGTAATATATTTCTGCACTTTTGCTTTTTCCATTTACTCGTTATTTTTCGTTCCCTTTTGCTCTGCTTCTTTTATATTTCGTACATTTCACCTTTCTCTCCTTTTACAGCAATCGTCCTTTTTTACGGTCGTCTGCTTTTTGTTTTTTTTTCCCGCTGCTGTTCCGTTACTATAATCGGTATTTTGTCTCATTCATACTCATTTCGAAATTCTGCCGTCTCTCTTACATGACCTAGCGATACTATTATTCTTATTGTGACGATAGGTGTCGCTGTAGTGCTGTCTGCTGTCTCATTGTGAGCAGAAACGATTTTTCCCAGCAGAAACATTAAGTATATTTTCCATAAATTTTTCGTTTGCATACCTAACATGTGTATTAATCATCATTATCATTACGCTCTTACTATTCCCTATTGCCATTTTTTAGTTTCATTCCAAATCAAAGCGCATCACTAGCAGTAATATCCCGCTCTACTCTATTTCTTAGTGCATAACTTTTGTAATTGCAATAATAATAATAATGTATAAATGATGTGATTTCCATCATCATCACCATCATAATAATAATAATCGTAATCATTTTAATTGTTATTATATGTATATATAATCGTCCGTTGCTTCCTCTTGCGTTAACACATGCTTTTTTTTTCTATTTGAGTTGCTCCATTTGTTTGTTTGTTTGTTTGTTTGCTTGTTTTTTATTATAGTTTAGTAATAATACCGCTAAGCTTTTAATGCTGTTATTAATGTTTATTATTATCATAATAGTCTAATATTAACCCATTTTAAATTATTAGTGTATATTATTTTAGGAATAGCAATCTGGTTATATATAAACAAGTTCCGGTAATCACCCTGACCCTCCGATAGAAGACATTGCATATGACACTGTACGTTAAGGGCAGCACGTATCGAAAATCATGTAAATGGGAAAACATGTTGTGAGACGAGTGAGAGATCTGATGCAAACATGTGCATTATCATGATAACCCATCGAGGTGTTCTAACTATACAATAAATTCATTGGAAAGTAATGAGCACAGCATTTATAGCTTGCGCGTAGCCATTTTTCTCTCTTTATCCATTGTTGTTATGGGCAATGCTCTCGAAAATAGCGTCCAAACGGCTGGTCAACATTTACGTGCAGTGCGTTAATATCGTCGTACCAGCCCGTCAAACGGAGTCATAGTGATTAGAGATGACGCGCCGCTTGTATTTGATATGTAAGTTCGACTACGGATTAAAAAATCATTATCAAACAACATGGACCCTCTTGTGCGTACTGAGGGCGTGCGCGTCGTGCGTGGAGTTCTCTAGTCACCTTTGATTTATTGATGCTACTTCGTACTTAAATTGTACTCAAATTGAAATGAGAAGTAGCATTCGCCCTCACTCGTCTGTGGTTCAGGTTTATTTAACTGTATTTCTATTTAGTACCAGTGACCTTTAATCTGCGCATGTCCAGTTTCAGTGTCTAAGGAGGGTCGGCAATTCAAAATCCGAAAGCGCCGTCCGGGTTTTGGAAATGGGCGCAACGTCGCAACCACTGTTGTGGGTCTTTTCGTTATCCAGTAAAAGACACAAGACGGCATCGTTAACGTTGAGGTGCGCTTTCCTCGCCCAGCTTCCTTCACTGTCATCACATATAAGAAAGTACATTGCTTTCATTATTACTGTTCTCGCTATTTGTATCCCTTCCATCGTAACAGTGTAGAAGAGACATCGTACCGGAAATGGCACTGGATGCTGAGCGAATCATTGACCTTACATTATGCTAACCGCTAAGGAACACGAGTTACTGAAAATTGCATTACGCCGAATAGAGTAAAACATGCTCTAGTGATATTATTAAAGGCTGATTTGTGAATTGATTGAAAATCGGTATGAAATTATTAAAATTAAAAAAAAAAATGCTGTAGCATTTGATTTAAGGTAGTAGATGTCTAGGCTGTACCTTTGAGGTACCACTTTAAGGAGAGACATCAAATTGGGTCGGTGCTTGTATGTAATGACTGTATTCTGAACTTACTATTTTGAAAGTTTTACAAGGGTTTCATATTCGAAGTTGCTGGACTTATATTATATTTTCGTCTGTTTCCTCGCTGCCTAGGCATTCAATGCTGCATCGTTTATACGTTACTGTCTGAATAGTAGATCGTCGAGTGTAAGCGATGGATGGACTGATGAAGTATGGATGAGTGTGTATGGATGTGTTACCGCGTCCAGTAATATTAGAGTGTAAAACAAGTTGCATCAGTTATACAAACATGACATTACGTCTCGTCCTTGCACGGTCAAACGAGGAAACGGGTTATCGGTCATTATGTACAGTATTGGGGTTTCAGTGTCCTTAAATCTCGAGCCCTTAAACAAGCCCCGATGCAGACACGCAAGTCAGAGTCTTCTCAGCTTCGCTATCTCTGGTTTTTCGTTTCTGACTATTAGAGAATGCCAACACCCATGGCATTGCGTACAAGGGCCGCTCCGCCATAATCGTAGATTTCAAACCACATTTGTATAGAATAGAGTGCCACTGTTCTCGTAACACGCATCTACCAAGGCCTCTGTCGGGCATATATATAAAATAAAGTCCACGAGACGGTTTCAAACCTGGACCGGTACCAATATGGAGCTGCTATTCATAATGGCGCTGATAGTAATCAGCTCAATCGAATGAGAGATACGTTACTCGTGCACTCTAGTCTGGCCACAAACGGTCACGGCGCACTATTCCGAAACTACTCCAACTAGTGGTACCTAGCGTTACAGGGTCTCCCGTAAACACGTACATTGTTTCGGACTTTCTGTGCAATTGTAGCTTGTGTGTGTAGAAGGGAGTTGGCGAACGCCTAAAGATACTTCGATCAGAAGGGTTTGATACGTTCTCGGATCGGCAATAATTGCCACGAGTGCTTAACAGTATCTGATCATCAGATACTGGGGACTCGCGTAGGTCATGTGTTGATAATTGAGCAACGCGAGTTCTTATTGCATACCGCGTCAAGCCATTTGTCCAACGAATTAAGTGATTGTGAGTGAAGTCGAACCTCTGTCGAATAATCAATCAAGTCCAATATTGCAGTGGGCAACCTGCTTGTCAATAGCAATGTACATGCCTATTGTTTCATTCATCCATGATGGCTTCGGCAACGCTGTTGGCGTTGCAAGGTGAAAATATATAGTCCAATGCATCTGGATTCAAGAAGACCGGAGCGCCAAAAGAGACCATTGCCGACATCAACAAATCATCTTCATCTCCTTAATCGTTACCTTGCTGACTAGTTTTTCAGTCTCACCATAATTATTGTTGATAATAATCATCCATATGATTGCTCTTTTACCTTCCATCTCTAGCGGTCGCTGTGATTATGTCATTCGGCTCTTCTTTACAGCTGCGATCTGTCAATGTGTCGTGCTTTAGGCCCTTCTCTGCATTTTGTCAGCGGTAGTATTTTTATTTCTAGCACAGTCAGAATAGGGAATTCTGTTATCGTAAGTTATTATGAATAGTTTCAATACGTTTTGTTTTACATGTCGCTAGCATTATTTTAGGGAACGATCCGCGTTTAGAGAGACGTATTTTCGTAACCATTTCGTTTATATGTTGGCAATAGGATTACATTGTTGCTGGCTTGCTTAATGACTAATCTTGTAAGAAGGATAATAAATATATAAGAACAATAGTTTATGATAAGCATCATCATCATCATCATCATCATCATCATCATCATCGTCATTAACTGTGTGTCTGAAGTGAGAGAAAAGTTTAACCTCAGAGAGAGAGAGAGAGAGAGAGAGAGAGAGATAGAGAGAGCGAGAGAGCGAGAGCGAAATACGTGGTGCGCCATCGTTCGAAAGTGTCTGCACTGAGACTGAAGAAGTACAACGATATATATATATATATATAATTAATATCAATGTTCGTATTGTCAGTGTTATTCTTGATTTATTTATTATGTGTCGCATAATCAGCGAGTAATGATAGAATAGTAATGTTATTAATGAACCCTAGAACTCGAATAAAGAGCGAGGGAGGAATCGAACAATTAAGGAGAAAAACTGCAAAATGTCCAAGTCGAAATACCTGCGGTCAAATTTATCCTGTTTCATCTTATGAGTTTGCGTAGTCGGCCTCTCGTTGGAAGGACGGCACGCATTGACGATTTCGTCTGTTTATAATGCTACAATCTTAACATAGCTGTCTGCTAATCCTTTGGCGGACAGTTTCATGCCTTTTCTACTGGCGAATTATAACTTCGAGTTGTTCCGGTAGCGCAGTAGCATTTACCAGTTGACCACGCTTGTTTATGCGATGGGCGTTTAAGGATCCGTAAGAATGAATTTTATTTCATTCATTGCACATATTTATATGGGTCCGTCACCAATGAAGATACTGAAAGACCCTCACTGCTACTTTCTGTTATTGTTGATAGTTCTGATGGGGTGTTTGTTGTTGGTTGTCGTCGTCACCACCATTGACGACACATTCTATTATTATTATTATTTTTATATTACGTTTTTTTCGTCATAACAGTAAGTTTTCGTTACGCGTTTGCTGTCGTTGCGTATGTTATCGTTACCGCTTTTCGAGCACTACACTCTGGATCATCATCATAATCAGTTGCTTTCCCATTAGTTACCGTCTAGTCCTTCATCATCATCATCATAATAATAATAATATAGTCATATTACAAACAACCGTCATTATTATCATAAATGACTAGAAAAATTATGTCAGTTCTTGTTGTAATTACTATTATCACTGTAATGGCTTGATGTACATCATGTAAATGATGTCCTATCATTTGTTTTTGCCATGATGGCGAAGGAGGGGGTGGCTGTGCTCATTTGCAGCTTTTTCGAAATTTGCCCAAAGGAATAACTTTAAAGCTTGACGATCAATAATCCTTTCCATCCCTATCCTTCGACTCATGTTGAACTTGTAGCTTTCGCTAACGTTGAGACATCAGAATCGATAACTTCAGTTTCGCTCACTTACCTCTTGTGGCGCTTCGAAAACCTAGCATCAATTTTTTCTAACATAACAAGTGGCTGCATTCAGCTAAACTGTTCAGTTTCTTCGTAGTATTATTTGATTTTGTTCATCTTAGTCGTCAATTTACTACCCTCACGACGCCATAACAATCTCTCGATGAGTCATGAAATTGGCTTTTAATTTGATTTTTCTTTCCTAACCTCGAATGCTCAACTATCCAATAACTTGTTTCAACCGAGGAAGCTTTTCTATAATCAAATAGAAAAGGTTTGTGAATCAATGATGATTTTTTTCGCCGTTATGGTCCTGTGCCATATTATATCCAATTAAGGCTATAGCAATTGCTACGCTGAATAGAACTAGAAAACTAGTAACAACGGTAGCAGCAAAGGTATATGGCATTACTTCGCGATAGCGATGGACATCACTGTCTATTTTGATAGCGTGATAAAGGATAGCCGTTATATTCTGAGGAAAGCAGTCACATATTATTATTTTTACTGCTTCGAGCTAGGTAATGTACACTTCGATACTAAGAACTGACATATCACGGTCCGTATCAACAAAATTGTCATACAATAATAAACTCAATTCAATAACCCGCCATTCGTCGGCATCATATTATCTGGCAATATATTAATAAATTCCATTGCTTTTTTTTTTCAATAAATCTGTTAACAAACATAACAGTACAACTTATAGTCCCAATGAAAATCTTAGACAGGATTTTATATAATATAAATAACAGTTATATTGGTTATCAATCAATGGCTTTATACGATATATAGGTTTGTATCAACCGGGGTGGGCTTGTCGGCCGGTGCTTATGTAATTATATATACGACCATTGTATACGACATGATTATGGCGCTGCACACTATCAGAGTATATCATGAAAAGCTGCTCTGGATGTCTGTAAGATCTAAACCTTTGTAAGAAATGAGAACTGATTTTTGACTATGCAGAAGACGGGAGAGAAGGTAATTTATCTATTAGCTTCCGTTTAACTGTTCCACGAGATTTACTTTAGTCCCGTATTTTCCCGTCGTCTGAACCCGACGAAACCTGTGACTCGTATTTGTGTCGCCGCATTCCCTAATTATCAGCCCATTCATTAAAGAGCTATAATTTTGTCGCTTTGCTTATCCAGGGAGAAACTAGAAGGCAAGCTGCATCGTTCTCTCCTTCTATATAACATGCGCACATCTTCTATAATTCTTCTTTCTATGTTTTCCCTATGCCGTTTATGACCAAATCAGTCTCCCCTAGAGAAAGTGAGTTTGATCTAATCAATTAATTTATTCCTGTTCTAATCTTTATGGAACGGTCCTTTTTAACATTTGCCGGTCGATACCATCAGCCTCGATCTTTCACCTGCGCTTCCGGGCGGGCACGACCAATTACATTCTACGGGATGTCATTTTGAATGTGGTACTACAGAAATCTGCAGTGATCTTCAGGCTGGTTGGGTCGGAGGTGATGATTTCCAGTTATTTGCTATTGTGAGGCGTTTTGGGCGTTGGTAGTATGTTGCGCGACAGCCTTAACCGGCAACTCTGCTGATTGTGCCCTCCAAGGTTGCATCTGCGTATGTATGACTATGGATGGGCTTATGCCGTATAAGCTGTCGCCCTATGTTGATAGTATTATCCTTTTCCCAACAAAATCGGAAAACGACGGGCCGAATATAAACCGTGATTGATGATGGCGGAGGCTGTGAGATGTGGTATTGTGGGACGGTCATGCATCGTCGTGGGTATTCAAGGGGTACTATTATCTGTTGTTGCTGCTCTTGTTGTTGTGTCCCTTGATTACCACTGCTACCTATGAGGAAGCAGGGGGTCTTCCGTCGGGCGTTGGTGGCGCATCTTTTCGTGGGGGCATGCGTTCGTTCATTTTGTCCAGCCCCTTCGCCTCCTCGAAACTGGCAATCTTGTGGTTCGGCGAGAATCCGGCAAGTGCTAAAATAAATTGACAAAAAAGAGGTGCAGGGCTAATTTTAGTCTGTCAAATATAGGCCGAGCTTATTACTTATATATTAAATGCGTATGAGTCATTGATTTATGCTAGGATGCCTACGAGCCATGCAAATCTGGCATTTGCCCGTATTGGCTAAAAAAGATATTGCTTATTATTACAGAATACACTCAAATGAAGATATGCAGCTATCAGCGCAATAGATAGATGTGTCTTACCGCTGTGTAGCGACGTTTTGCCGCCCGACAGGGCTCCCATCGGGAGTGTACCGGTAGGAGTAAGACCCTTGAGTTGTAAAACGCTTTCGCTCTCTTCCCTGTTTTATGAAAAATTATGTTTATTATAAATAACTCCTATCTGAGTTTGGAGTATACTTTTGTGAAGTTCAAATAGCTAAAGTCATTATATCCAATTGCAAAATCTAAATAAAGTTGAATAGGATATACCTACTAGGCTTTTCTTGTACGAGCCGGCTATTGTATACTTGCCTTACTGGCAAGTACGGTTTACATCATGTATATAATAATGTACATTATTTTATATGATGGAAATAATGAGACACCGCGATTATTTAGGTTGAGCTCCGCACAAATAAATATCAATCATTTTCTGTGACAACAAAACAGCCAATACAGTGAACCAGCTAAATGAAAGGCCAACTTTTATTGCATAAAGTGCAATTTTAGGACAAATACGTTACTCGAATAAATACATCGTGTCCAACGAGCCGTAGTTTATTCAAATCATGCTTTTTTGCTCCTATGTTCCTATGAAATAGGTTCTTTTTGTCATGGAAGTAAGGCGGCCTTATCGAGTGACAAAATACAACACTCGTTCAAAGACATGTAAAGGTACCGATTAAAAACCGGAGACAATTATTTCTGTAGGCCTAGGCCTGTTGCTAAACATCATCGCTTTTCTGTGTACGCGCATTTTGCCTTGGGAGTAAAAATAACAACGATAAAAATTAAAATTAAATATACAGAAATATAGAACCCAGTCGCATAGATGCCTCAGCCAATACATATCCTGCGTATTTTGGCCTTCATAAAAGTGATGGATAGCTGCCAGATAGTTTGTCACAAATGCCTTTTGAAATACGTTGTAGCCAATGCACCGGTTACTTCATATGTTTATAGAAACAACGCGCACTCGGGCTATGGCGCTGTAAGAGCGCGGAAACCTCACATGCCCATAAATGGAGAAGATGACGAGCGTAAAAGGTTTTAGAATTAGTGACTCGTGGCTGTACGAGCCCACCTTGATGCGACTCGCTGGGTTTAGATGAGATTAAAGCTGCATGAAAGCAGCGAATGTAAAGATTTGCGCCGGATGTGCAGCGGGGAAAAAAGACAATACAACTAGGCCTAATGGGTCAGTACTTCTCGACGACCCGCGTATACCTAAATATCGATTTTCTTCAAAGCATAAGTTAACGATTAGGACGTTGCTCGCTTTAAATACGCGTCTAGTCTTCTAACTTTACGTATGCAATTTCCTAAAAGGTTCTATTCAATGTAAACCAGACAACGTATTTTTATTAATGATAACACGCTGTGTCGTATGCCACAACTCTGGGGCATTGCGAGCTACGTACTACGAAAAGCCACCCTGGCTACTAGAAATTTTTCTGTACAGGACGAATTAGAAAATCTATCTTAACTATGCCTCTCAGGCCAATCCTAATCCGATGTCACAACTTCTACGCAGCTATTTAGCCTCGTTTCGAGGAACAAAATAATCCGGAAGGTAAATTTGCAACAATCCATGTGCGAAAAAGCACTGAAAAGTTAGGAGATGAAAATGTTTCTATTCGATTGAAATACCATTAAACTATGCATCGCCAGAAACTAAATATGGCGACGTCTGCTCAACTGCTATGTCACGTACCTCAGCACAGAGAAGACCCGAGCCATCTTGCCAATAGCACGAATTTTGTTGCGAATAACCTCTTTGCGTGCGCTGGCTGCTCCGCCTAAAGGAAAAAAACCGTTGTTAGAACCACCAACCGATGACTCGACGGCGATAATACAGACCGGCCGACCTGTAACGCAACTACTAAGCAGGCATAACAACAACTAGACACGGTATCCATCTAGATTCCAGACGACAGGTCTGCAGTCTCGAGAAATAAATAATAAATATTGAATAAAAACACAATTTCTATTGGATGACACATATGTACAATCTTCTACGAACTTCCGTCTAATTATTATAGCAACAGTATATTGCATATACTTCTTTTGCGAATCACATGAATACGAGTACAAAATCGACCTTTCAACTTTGCTTTTGTGTTTCGAAGTGGTCGCTTATCATTTTTGCACCAATAACCGCTATTCGGTCCTTGCAAATCAGTTCTAGGTTTACAAAACAAACCGTATCATTATGATTATACCGTTTCAATTGAAGTATATGAAAAAAACGTGTGTCAATTTTATAATTTTACTGATTGGCGTCGAGCATTTTTTATAGCAATTAATCGCGAGGTTGAAATGAGTAGTTAGATGAGGCAATGGGAAACGTTAATTAGGGTTGATATTTTTATTCTGACACAAAGCATGCTCTGGTACTATAGGAGAAGATAAATATGAAATTGTTTAAATATGGCTGAATCTTAAAAGGAAAAGGCGATCACATGTGCCTGCAACGACGTCTAGGGGTCGAGAAAACGGGAGGGAACACTCATAGTTGGGCGCGTCCTTATTCATTCCTTGAGCAAATGGAATTGGGCTATGCGTTTGTTATCACTGAAAATGTTATTTATTGAGGACGTGGTCACTCGCCAGAATAATAGCAGAATAGACGGACTTGCAAAAAAAATGCGAAACAGGCTGGCGCCTATTCAACTGCTTTTTTTGAACAAAGAAAAAAGTGAGATGAGTTGAATAACGGGGTCCGGATGAAGAAGAGCGCAAAATAAGGACGAAGACAGCAATAAAAATATGAGAAGACCTAATATGATGACACACCAGCATCAAGCGTCAGTTCTGTCGTATGTTGTTGTTAGTGGCTTAGGTTTGGCTAAAGTGCGAATGAGCCACGCGATAGCCTCGTCTTCGACACTACTGATTTAGAGCGACCGATATACGTGGTACGGTCGTCACCGACAATCGGCAAGTCCAACCAGTAGGCTCCACTTTAAAAGAAAACGCGCTGAACCATTGCATGGACCGTATAACGTGTTATCTTACATATACTTGACGCCCTCGATTAACGTGCCATCGTGCAAGCATGCATACGTACCCGGGCATGTGTTATAGAGACGTATGGAAAAATCGTAGGACACATGTAAATCGATGCGTAAATAAAAATATGCACCTCACCAATAACAGCGAAAACAACACGAGGCACATTGTCGTCATCCACAGGCCATGCAGCACGTGCACTACTGCTATGGAACCGCTCGCGACCACTCACACAATATAAGTAAACCCTAGATGTAATTAATCGTCACTGCATTCGCGGAACTCTTAAATAACTGATCTTTCTTGGCGCAGAATTGGTATAATAAATTATTTGCAAAAGGATTTGTTTGCTCTCAAAAAGGCTGGGTAGAGGTTTACGCGGCAAAAACCGGAATAGAACGAATGTTGTCTTATTAGCTTAAGTGTCTTTTACGCGGCGTTGGGCTTCCAGCATGGGGAAAGTCTCTGTCTCAATGCAACTGCTGTTCAGAATGGGAATTTAGTTTTCCCTACGTCATTGCTCTTCGGCCGAAACAACCAGCTAGCGGTTGGGCATTTGCTCGCGCTCGCAACTTCATAGTAGAACTAGGATGAGGACCGAGAAGTCAAAATGGTGTGAGACCATTAACAGATTTGTGTACGATAAAAATATTACCCGCACGTTTCTAGAAAAGGTTTCGGAGATGAGCTATATAAAAACAACGGTGAACTGCATACGAATAACAGGTCAGATACACAGATTAGGTAGATATCTGTTGCATTTAGTAGAAGGTACAAAAAGTGGTCGGTCTCCGTATTGCAAGAACCTTGAGCCAGCTTCTTAGTCTATTTGCCTGGTTTGTTAAGTTGGCATCCTTTTTAATCCTGCTATAGCAAATGCCTATAGAGGTTAGGTACGGCAACAGCCACAGTATAAAGTGATCCGGGTACTATCATACGACTTTTCTTATCGATCGTTGAAAACAACAGGGAGTCAAATGATTAAAGAAGTAATTTAACTATATTAATTGTTGAGTTGTGATGCCTTTTCTTCTTGGATAAAAATTATCCAGTTGCATGTATTTCAACTGTCGACATTGTTTTTAAAAATCAACACTTTAGTTTTGTGTAGAAGGTTTCGTGCAAAAAAGAGAAAAATACACGAATATTTTAAAATAGAGTTAGTTTTAAATGTCTCAGTTCCTTATTGCTCAATCCGGTAGTGATCAGCCAATTCTATGGATCTGATGTAGACAAGAAAACCCCTAAAACAGCTAGAAGCTGAATTCAAGCAAAAGACGTTAGCGTTTATAAAGGCCTTTTACTCTGAAGAATACTTTTACTCTCCCTTTTACACTCCTTAAATCTGAAGAATATATCGGTGTATATCAGATTTGTTTATAGGCAGGCTTCAAAATTCATTAAAATGAGGGTCGATTTTTATGTGAAGTGTCCAAACCGTCGCTCTTCCAACAAAATTACGATGCAATTTAAAGACCTAATAGACATCAGATTTCAAGTACAACACAGCTTCTAGAAATTGTACCATGCCGACATATTACGCATGACCGAATGCAGCATAGACGTTATTGGCTAACCTGTGAGCTAAGCAGAAGGCTATTTTTGTTAACTTCATAGAAAATACGGAGTAGCTAGGAACGAAAAAATCAAACTCAAGGTCGCCCCACACCGCGCTGACCGCTGACATTGAAACGCTAAGAACATCACTAGCACACGAAGGCTGTCTTTATTTGTGCCCTCCTCAGACACGTATATATAGAAATAGGGGGAAGGAAAGACGGATGCGCTCTCCACAAATAATCACACCTTATCATCAGCTCATATATACATATAGTACACATGTATGCGCTCATATCATCACATCATCATTGACACAGTTTTGTTGACATTATAACATATCGAGTGTTTTACGAATGGGTAGCAACCAATGGGTGATGGTCACTTAAACAAGGAATGAATCCGTTAAACAACTTACGTAGTCGAGAGATCGGCAAAGGATCGTCAGCCAACCCATCGCGGATTGACAAAGCAGGTGGTATTCGGGCGTCGCAGGAACAGAATTTTTGCGGCAAGCGATTTAAGTAGAGATGAAATAAAATAGGTAAATATCATCATTAATAAGCATGAATATATCAGCAAAGTATGTAAGACACCGCGTCGGGTTAGCGTTCAATTTTAATGGAAGATTAATGCTGGAACGAAGATAACGACGGACAAGTAGCTATAGTTAAAAAGGAAACGTAAAATGTGTGAACTAAAAATAAGCTCGTAGTGACTATTTCCGCAACAAAGTTCCGATCATTACATGCACTAGATTCAACTGTCGCTACAAAAAAGAAGCTGTTTCTGCTGTCATCCAGCTTAAGAACCGGTTTTTCTCTCGTAAGTCAGAGTCATTCCATGGCTTGATAGCGGTACACCTGCCTTCGATCATATCTTACACTATTTACCACCTCCACGAACTAAATACATTCCAATAAGATAACACGATCAATAAAAGCATGCACGCGCCTCACGGAAGCTTGATATCAGCTAGCGAAATTATCTTTAGTTACCTAGCAAAGATAAATATGGATTAAACACGTACGGAATCGGGGCTACACGTTCGGTATACACAGTTTTTTTTCCCGTAATAAAGTTTGAGCACCGTATGCATCATATGTCAATAAGTCGAACACATACTGCTTGCTCTCCGTGTACATTTGTATTGTTAAACAAATGGCGCCTGCATAGTGGTATGCAATTGTAAAATTTCGATTCTTAAAGCAGTCCAAAAGAGACGCATTTAAGAATCAGAGTATACGGCTTTGAAGAAAAATGTCTTTTGAAAAAATCGATAAGGAATGGTTGGGATCGTTAGCATGCGCATGCAATTGGAGACATTTAGGGTAAGTTAGGCCAAAGGAAAGAAAATAAGAAGAGCAAAGAGAAATGAAGTAGCGGTGGGTAGAAATCACCGTCGAACCAGCCGTAGACACAAAACATTTTCGGTAAATCAGTATTACAGTTGAGTAAATGGCGTCTGCACTAGTTCCGGTCGCTCGAAGTTCAGATAGACTTGAGTGATACAATGGAAAGCCTGTCACTATGATAAAAACATGAACAGACTTTGCGCATATGCACATTTATAAAAAATGGCTTAGGACACTTCTAGCCTTGGAAGACAGTTAATTTTTGTCTACGATACCTTGGTCATCTATTAAATATGTAAATAATGAAATATGAGTAAGCTTTCATGAGAATATGTTCAACGAATTTTTTTTTCTGTGACCGTTAACAGGTATCAGAATAGGATTACCAAAGTTAGGAAAGGCTAGTAAGATATTCTAGGCTTTTCGGCTCGCCATCCGCCGAAGGTCAGGCATCTCAGGTACAGTGGCGCGTCTGAGTATTTTTCATCTTGCTAGGATGAACTAAGCCTGAAGCCTATGAAGGCGCCACGTTGGCAAAAAAGACCTCTATCAATGCATCTAAAAGACACCTTTAACCAAGAGTAAACCTATAAGAAATAACCAGGTACAAATGGAGTCATTTTTCAAAATTGATTCAGTCAACCGGCCATTCTCGGAGCATCTGGCTAGTAGCTATATTCATTGTCAGTAGCCACTTAGCTCGACAAACACGCGGTTTTGTTTAAGTTAGACTCCTAGTGCGAGGGCTGTCAAAAACAAGACCACATGGGTTAGTAAGTTGAATAAAAGAAATTAAACTATTTGGATACAAGTTTACAAAACCGGCTCTCGATATCAATTTCAAAATGCTAAAGCATGAATGAAAGTACACGTGATTGGAGCAACACACCTGCCTCCGAGAGCTTTCAAGCCACACACTATACACCCAACTAAAACCTAGTATTTATGCCTCAACCGTCTCGTTCATATTAGACTAACTAGTAACTAACATCAGTGTCAACACAGGTAAGCATACATTCAAGCACTAGATATAGTCAGTTTTTTCATTGGGATTATGGAAGCCAAAAGGCTATCGATAATTCCTGAAATGTATATCAGACAAGCACACACAAGCTTGCTATAAAGGGATAAAAATCTGGCTCCAGAACGTCATGTGGGCGAGGCCTTGTGACAGAGATAATCTTCGTGTGATCAAATAGCTGAATATATTTTTATGTAGTCAGGGGCATCTATGCTCCAATAAAATTATGCAAAAGATCATTAATGCCGTTATTAAATTTCGTCTGATGTAAAGATATATAATATGAGAAGAGTTACAAATGAAAAAACGAATTCATACAGTTAAAAATTGAATAAAATGTAGGAGTATTATTCTAAACAATGAGCAGTGGGTGATCACAAGAACCGTAAAGGCTTGGCTATTTGTCCATAGGATGATTGTATAGAAGGTTTGTTTGCCTAGATCTGCTGTGTCAGCATGTAGTCGTCTATATATATATACATATATATGCCTGTTGTAATGGGCAGAAACCAAGATGGCGGAGAATAACGACGACTTGATCTTACTTTCTACCCATCTATGCTGGTATTGGTGGCCATACTCACTGTCCTCCGTCGAGTCTACTCCACCAGGCAGGCCTGATATGTCGTTGCCATGACGATACGCCATGGCGACATAGCCATGGCAACGACCGCGCAGAAGGCGGAGAAGTACAAGGAATGGTCCGAGTTTGGTAGAGATTGATGGGAAAGAAAGAGAAGAAATAGAAAGAAAGAAATTGAAAAAGAAACAATATAATAGCAATAGCACAACAGTAAATAAGAACGAAAAATAAACAGATACGAGAATAACAACAATAATGAAAGTCGGCTTAGTATGTCATAATCAAGGTCATAGTAATTATTACTATCAATCCCATCGTAAACGCTATCGGAGTAACAGGTTCTGGTAGCTTAATTGTAATTACCAGCGTTCCCTCTAAATTATTTAAGGATTCATCCCTTGCCCCGGTTTCACTTACATATACCTATACATTATTCGTCTCCTATCATTAATGATTCTTTTGTCACATTTCTCGATATTTAGAAAACGATGTAAAGTTCAGTAATGGCTTAAAAGGCGCAATACGCATCACCTTAACGGGTCTTTAAACCACATGAAAGCGTTCTATTCCTGTATCTTTTTATTAGTAGAGGAATTATAAGTTCTCATAATAGTCTCGAATGCTTTATGGGATATTTGCGTACCGGAAATATATGTAGGACGACCCGAAAATAACTAAGGCATTTGAACGGCCAACTGAAGTAACTTATATGCGGCAAATGTAAAACGATCTCTTTCACATTTTTGTTTGAATACCGCTAATCATGTAAATATTTTTTGAAAAAAAAAAACCGGTTTTTACTTCAATTTCATTCTCTCTGGTCTTTGAAGGTTAAAATATTACAACTACGTTACGAAAATAACCACCACCTAATTTAAAGTCTACCTAAAGTGCACAAGGGGCTACAAGGGATAGACCGGGTGAAGACTAGAAGCGCCGGTCGGTGATCGGACAAAAAACAGGTAGAAAAAAAAATACTGAAATAATAAATATCTAGATATATTTGTAAGAAGACATGGTATATGTGTAAATAAATATATACATAAGCGTGTGTAAATATAAAATAGAAGTGCACAATACGAATAAATAGGGAGATATATTGTTTATGATAGATATTGAATCATGAAACAGTTAGAAAGACTAGAGAGAAAACGAGAAAAACAAGAATGAATGAGACACTTTAAGATTCAACATTTTAAATATATTAGAAAAAAGATGCAAATAAATAAACTGACAATACCTCGCATTGAATATATATTATTAGACTGTGGTGTAAACAATTCGCAAATGACTGACGTATCATATATGAAGAAATGGATAGAAAAACCTGACGCCAAGTGTTCACGAAAAATTAAATTTAATTTATATAAATTGATATATATATATATATAACCATAATAAAATGAAAATTCGGAATGTCAAAACGGCTGAGTTCTTTTTGTTCGATATAAATAGCGCTATAGAAACAAATTCAGCTCAAGGGTTATAATTTAAGCTAGCGATAAAAAAATAACTTATTACTGAATCCAACATCCCTGCAGCACGTGTTGAAACTTCTTCTTAATTGCATTGATTTTTTGTTCTATAACAGTAGCATCGACAATGACGTTTATTGGTGAACAGTGAGGTACTTTCAATAGTGAGGTTCATTTAACTTAGATGAAATCGGATCAACAAACAATCAAGCAGGACCATACCTTCAAATGTATCGTCGCCCTCAGTCATCAGCTCATCGTCTGAACATATGTTCAGCACGTTCACCAACATCTCCGTCACTGAAATGATCACACCCAGGCCGACAAACGCGATTTTACAGCGAACAGTTTAACACGAAAGCGTCAAAGGACCAAAATATCATTAGCACGGAAGTTACCTTATTTCTATAGGGTGCTAAACTGTGACCAGTGTGTTCTGCGTCAATTTACGCACATCTGCATACGTATTAAAGATTTTTACGGCGAACGCCAACCACTTTGTGGTACAATTAAATTATGGAACCAAGCAAATCATTACGATTTGCGGGGTAGTTGAGACTGGCAAAGTCGGCCATGACAAATTCTGCTGAGGCTTTCCTTTCTTTCTAACGGGGAGGCGGCATAAGCGTATTCCGGCAGATTAAAGATACTTATAGTAGAAAACGTAAGGGGTAATTACACGTTTGTCGCGAGTTAGGGTGTGCATAAATCGATTCTACAAGCCAAATTTAGATGCCCAACTTGGCTAAATAACCCGTGGCTATCTATATAAGCGTTTTAATCGAAATTGGCTAGTTTAGCTTATACAAATATCTAACTTCTATACAAATAACTCTATGTCTAACTATTTTTTCTGCGGAGACGATTCTACCAAAAATACGTAAATCTGATTTTAATTTAACTGAAATTTCCTCTAGCAACTTCTTTCGTACTTCTTTGTTTCGCCCACTAGGCTTTCTCTGTTAGAACAAACTTCAACTTTTTTAAAGGGCTTAGTGCCAAATCTATTCAATATCATACATATCGTCATAGAAAAGAGAATATGAACGGGCCTCTTCCTAGAACCTACGATGCATACTAGACGATCTACTTGTATCCTGAATATTATGCCGAAAACGACCTTAAATCATCTATAAAAAGCTAACGAGTTAATGGACAGATTAGCAATCATCGATTTGAATAATGGTAGATTAGTAATTTTCGGCGAAATATGTCAGTCAACGATAACTGAATCGCATAGAGGTACGCAGCGAGGTTATTTTTGGGTTTGTAGCTGCTGAGGAGTACGCAAGATCCGATGGATATAAAAAAAAATGGGCTAGATGAAAAAAGTCGCTTCAGAATAGGCATTTTCAACTTACCCTTCTCGCCAACGAAGGGCAGGGACCAGGTGAAGACGTCCATGAAGTTGGGCAGCCAGTATGGGTGCGGAGAACAGTTAAACTGGCGAATGTTCATCACGTTGTTTTCGTATTTGAGCACGGCCGCCTTGTTGTTGTACACGTCGAGGTAGTTGGGCGCGCTGAATATGGTGATGAGTGAAGGAAAGCCGGTCGTTTGGCTTTTGCGGTACATCCTGTAACCGGCGTCCTGGGCCTCGTGGGCGCGGATGATCGACAGCAAGTTGTTATGCGCAAGGAAGTCGCAGCACGCTGCGTACGAGTAAAAGTACGAGCAGCCGCGAACGCTATTGTGGCTAAAATGTTCAGTGGAACTCTTCTCCGAGCCGAAGTCCTCAAGGGGGTCCGACCACAATAGATCGCACATCGGACCATACGCCGGAGGCTCCTTGAACCGGTCTAACCTGTAAGCAACAGCGTAGCATTGATAAGAAAGCAAGAAGAAAGGCGTTAAATATGATTAGCCGAATTACTGCGTCGTTTAGCAGCTGACACTCGGAGGCCAATTTGCCCTGATAGCCTATTCAAGTAAATCGGCTTACCTTGACAACTCGAGGAGAATTCAAATATTGTGTTTTTTTAAATGTAAAACAATCAAGAGCTGTTACTTTGAACAGTCAATTTTTTACTGCTTTTATATGCGTCTCGAAGCACTGAAGTACTTTACCTAATTTGAAATATTTAAGGCAATGATTAATGCCTTCAGTTTTAACAATAAGGGTATTTGAGTCAAGTGTATGATATGTTCCCTTTTTTCTGTTGATAATAAAATATTCAATGGTTGCTTTTGGCACTGTACTTTCATCTGTGAGAGTATCCCGTGGCTAGCCAAGCGTGCGGCTTCACGAAGATATGATGCAGCATTTGTGCTGCATCGTATCCATGAAGCAGATAGCAAACAAATGAACAGCGTCCATAGGCACGTTAAAATAGAGGGCGCTTATTTAACAGAACTGCTGAATACGGCAGCTACCACGCGTTCCCTCATTAAATGAAATCGAGTATGTTGGTAAACCTTTGTTAAAAACTGAGTCTCGCAAATTTTCGCGTGACTAGGTGATCGATTGTGATCGCTTTTGGAAAAAAAAGCTTCTGCTATATATAGCTTCTGAAAATCTGCTGCAATCTCGGGTCTATTGGGTAAGTCTATATATTAAGCGGTCTGTGATTTTCTCAAGTGAAGCAACGAGCGTGCATTAGATATTGTGTTAAAGATAAAATTAATCACACATACACCCTATGAAATACCTACAAGAACCAGAAACCGAGCAAAGTTCAAAAGCGTCCATCGAGGACAATCCTTATCTTGGAAGGCTTATGACAGCGATCACCAACGAGGACACGGAAAGGGTGAAACAACTTGCGTTTGTAGACCGCTGAATATCTATAACGGACCTTGCAGAAGGGATAGAGACTTCAATAGGCTTATCTGAGGTCATTTTGACCTATTTTTTTTAGACGTTTTTGAGACTTGAAGCTGAACGTCCAGCAGGTGAACACTCGTGAAAAATGGTGTCAGTGGAATTTTTAGCACTCGTAGAAAAGCCGATTTTGCTTGACCACGTCATTACGGACGACTAGATATGAATGTGCGGTTACAACGAAGACACCAAGACACAAGTTCCCAAAAACGAACCCCGAGCGAAGAGAATCCAACTCGAGAGACCAGAATAGTGGCACAACAAATCCTGCTTCCCCCATCACGACTACGGCTTACACTTTACTATTCGTACAGCGGTACGGCAAAGACCCGCTTTGTACAATGGCCCAACCCACGTATTCACCAAACCTAGCCACCTGCAACTTTTCCTTACCTTTAAAACTAATAAAACTTTGAAGAGAGAATATTTCGACACAATAGAAAAAATAAAGGAAAAATCGTTGATCCAATTGATGGCTATCGAATTTCAAAAGTGCTTCATAGGCTGGAAAAAGGATCGTGTAAACGGGCTGTGTCTGAAGGGAATAACCTCAAAGAGAGTAATGGAAACGAGAATGATTAAACAAATACTTATCAATTTAGAGAAAACAGCTTATCCATTTTTAAACAAAGGGGTGTATCAAAATCCGAGCTGAACAAGTAGGTTACTCAAAGGACCCGTCCAAATGTTTCCAAGACGTTTACCTTTAAGGACTCATACTCAGAACTGACGTATTTGTCTATCAGAGCTCATTTTACGCCGGGGACGTTTTTATATACACTAGCTTTTTACCAACAAAAGTGCGTCTATAAAAATATTACGAACATGTTTATTCAAGTTCATACCTCCGGATGTCGTCGAGGGTATGTATTTCGGGCGAAAGACCGCCATGCACGCAGAGGAATTGCTGGTTCATAAGAGCCGCAAGCGGCAAACAGTCAAAGGCCTCCATGCATGCGTCGTATACACGTTCTGAGTACTTAATTTTACACTCGGTCTTGAAGGTAAAGTACTCTGTAAGGTGGCGACATTCATGGTTACCGCGCAGCAGGAAGAGTGTGTTTGAATAGCATATCTTCAGGGCCCACAGGTATAATACACACTGGAAGAACAGAATTATGGAACATACTAATTAACCATCGATGCTACTTGAAAGGGAACGTGTTATTATGATCAGTACTACTATTATTATAATTACTATTAATAATTATCATTCGTTTTAACGATTAGAAATTTCAAGTTCTGCAAGAACGATTTGTCATAAAGAAGTGGATCACTCACAATAAGAGGAAAGTACATTAGAAATAACAGGTATGTGCTGAGGCACATGCTACCTAAAGGATCGAGTCGGGTTAGGAGCTTGAGAACTGTTAGAGACTCCACGAGCGAGAATCGAATGAACCGAACTAGTCAATAGTGAATGTATTTATCATACAGCTGAGCGGCTGCAGAAGACAAAGTGGCTTTCAGCGGAAGATCAGTTCAAGTGAGCAAACCGAATACCTATATGTACTTACTTCAATACTAAAGTATCCTCGATCTACGTAGTCCCCCAGAAAGAGATACTTGGTGGTAGCTGGAGGGCCACCCACCTCAAATAGCTTCATGAGGTCGTAGAACTGTCCGTGGATGTCACCACATACTGTAAAATGGAAAAAAAACGGGAAAAAAACAGCTATTATAAATATGTCATAGACTAGTTAACTGTGAACGGTATTGCTATAGGAAATCATTTCTTAAGTATAATAGCAAATTATTTCACTTGTGTCTTGTTTTTGTATGATACGTAATACTCGGAGTTCGTGGATCTTCTTTCTTTTGGGGGTATGTGATTATTGTGAAGATTTATATTGCCCATCAAATTAATAATACAACTCATAAAAAATATTTCCAGTAAGTGATTTAATTGGTGTGGTTGTTTTATACATTGCCGATTGATATATATGTTATGAATATATGGGCTTTTATAGACCTACGTATATTGCTCCGTCCTAGTTGACCTAGTATCTTTATGCAAAAACAGTGATTTTTAGTTTGAAAATTCTAACACATTTTCTACTAGAACTCTTTTGCATGCTTTAAATGTACTGTCCAAAGGATAAACTTCGAGTGACAAAAGACTGTACAAAACTAACATATAGAGTTTTAGAAACTGAAACGTCATCTTGTTTGATAAACAAGTATCCCTCTGTATGTTTTTAATTCTCTTCAGCTAATCCTGGCTCTGTCCTAAAAGTATTCCGGAATAAAGGGTTTCCACAAAGTTCATATGTACGGACTTCGGCCGGTTGTATTAATAATGCTTACAATCCTTATCCATCTGATTTTTTACATACGTTACGCAAGATACGAACTGCATTTCGGTACTGCAATGTGTTTGCGCTGCATAACGTAAATAGGAATTCATTTATCTCTTCCCTGTTATCCTGTCTCATATTACCCTTCTATACTTACTTTAAAACCCAGTTGCAGTTAGCCCGCTACACGTATCCAATTATCATGTTTTAATTAATCTATTATCGTACGTCAATAAATCCGTAACTTCGGCCCAGTTACCGGCTTTCCTTCCTACTACTATTTTTTTTCGTTTCCCAAGTATCTCATAGCAATTTCAACTGTTATTCGTAACGTGGAAGACTCCTTCGTACCTAGTACCCTTTGGCTGTCGACATCACGGATCTATTTTTCGGTAGAATCAGATAAGGCCTATGATTATATCAGCACCCTGCTGCAGTTGTCCGAGTCTTGTCTCCCAGTAGCCTTTTTATATAGTTGCATTTGACTCACTGTCTTTTTTATAATCGTCTCGTTTTTGCAGCTTATTCCATAAATCCTCAAGCCAATCTCAATCAAGGTACTAGACGTTGCTCAAACCAAAGGAAAATGCGAACAATTAGCTTCCAATGGTGATTAAGAAAGCTATCATACGTTTTTTTCGATAAACATCTCGGTTTACGAAAAACTGTTTGTTTCGCGAAGCGTGATGTTATTACTGAAAATCAGTCGTGGCACAAGCCAGAATGAGCGTTATCTGTCTGCGGAAAAATAAGATTCGGATAATGGATATATTTAGCCTTCCGTGAAAAGCCAAACAATATACGGAAACAGAATCGTAGTAACACACGAATTTAGCTATAAATACAATAGTAATTAGTACAATTTGTGCTACATCAGGGCGTTGATGTTTCCCAGTTGCGCAATGACGCCTAACAATCTGAGTAAGCAGTAATCTTCATATATGACATCACATGTTTTACGTTTTACGTTCATTAATGCCATAGAGTACTGCGTGGGTCTTAGATCTCGAGATGTATTCTATTTCATTATTATATGTATAACTATATACTGTAACGCGTGTATGGCGTGCAGTATAGATACTTAACGAGACCTGGCATGTCATTAGGTCTTTTTAGGGGCAAGACCTTCTGCTTTAATGTAACATTTCGAGGAGGCATAAAACAATTAGTGAAGTGCATCTTCGACACCCAAAACTTCAAACAGTCGATATACTTATGTAATGAGAATTATTGTTTCGGCTCTCTATTTCAAAGAAATTAATTTTTACATTACCGTTGAATGAGTCTGGCAGTGTTCGTTTAACGATTGCCCTATCCACGAAGCTACGAAGCAGCCGGCGAAACAGTGACTTTGAGGAGTGCTCGGACTCGTTCATCGGACACGAAATTCGCTCACTGAACTAGCAAAAATTACTGTTATTATTTACTAATCCTTGAATGTGAGCACTAAATAGAGTCATATATGCTTTGAGTTTCGGACGTATTGATTGAAGACCAGTAAAGCTTCAATCAAGTAATTTTCAAACCAACAACGTAGAACGTTATCGGTTTTTTATGGGCTTATTAATCCAGGATTTCAATGTTAGCCTGGAAACATAATTTTTTGCGATAAGTAGATGCCGAGCTATGATGTAAAATCTGTAAAGCACTACCCATTGTCCGATTATTTTATCTAATAGGGGATATACTCTGATATTCCGTTTTTCAATGACTTGGTTGGGTGGGTTATAAAGACAAAGCCTAACACTTCAGAGCGAGATACCTGAACATGCCAGAACGGCGATGATCTCTGATGAATGCAGCTCTTGCCGAAAACACATTTTGCCACTCCTTCGCCCCCTGTCTTACTCATGCCGATCCCATATATTGATTTCGTACGCTGAACAAAAATAAATATATGTTCGGTACCTTTCTAATACATTATCTAAACCACTAACACCATACAGCATATTCAGCCAAATTAATGGGACCTAATTAACTATTGAGATCTAGCGGAAGTTCCTGTCTAAAACCGACAGCTACCGTGCAGAACAAAACCAATCAAATGCTTGAGGGCTCGTTGAAAAATCAGATCACACGAACAATAACGCTTTCACATAATACCCCTACAATAATTTTATAAATTTATTTCAGTTTTAATTAATTCTCAGTAGCTACACCACACCGTATATACCTGCGATAATAATCATCAGGCATTCTGATCTTCTTGTCCTTCTGATTATTATTTTGGGGTGTTATGGGGTTTGCACCATAGATTTCACTGCCAATATCCACTGCCCCAATACTATAGGAGTTATTACAATCGAACTTAGAATAACAGTGAAGCAATTTAGCTGAAATAGGTGCCCCTGTGGACATCGGCGGAGGTTGTTCTCATCTAGCCAGAGTTTCCAAGGATCCTCTCAATGGATGGCCAGTTATTGGTTGTGGTAGACAGGTAAAGCCGTATTCGATTGTTGAAGCCCATTAACACTTACAGAGTCACTGACTGAACCGACGGACCAGCTTAGACCGGGCGAGCGAGCAAAAAAAAATGAAAACGCTCTTTTTAAGTTAAGTGATGATAACAAGTAAGACGGGCTGCGCATGTATTGTCCCATCATCGCCACAACCACTGTAAAAATACCTGCGCGAACGCACTACAGACCGGCCGCTAAAAGACAAGACGGTGGCAAAGGTGTAGGTGGAAGGATTGAAGAAAAAGCGACAAGGAGCCTCTGATACAAAAACGAGTGTCAGCAATCGTTTGTATCAGAGAAACGATCTGAAGAAATGTCGGTTATGTTCATTTCTTGCAATAGTAGACCGTTCATTGCAACGTACACTACTTTTATTAGCGGGCCTTACTTGCCTACTTGAAGGACAATATACAAAGAACATGCGTCGGTCGCCTCGCGTTGATCTATTGACTAACATGCAAACGGTCAGAGCATATTATGCGCCTAACATATGACTCTAATGTTCACTCTAAACAATTAGCGATATTTGCCGTAGCAAACTTTTAGGCCGGCAGCGGTTACAGAGTTTAAACAAAAGATGACCCACACCTGTTGCGGGTCAAATTTGATGGCTATTTTCAGCACCAACAATGATACATCTTTCAAACTGTCTACTATTATACATACAAATTCCATAGAAATCCTCGAATGTTGCTGGCTCAAGGTTCGGAGGACTTCTTTTCAACACGTTTCTAGTACCCCCATCATATCTATACATGGACACTAGACCTTCCCGATTCCTCCCCGCATGGCAAGCCAACCAGATCGGCGGCTGTTGAGCTATCGGACTAAAAACAACAAATCTAGATCTTGCATATAAAAGTTAATGGACGGATTTTTCCCCATCGGATTCACGCTAGTCGTCTGTTCTTATATGTTACATGATTTAGGATCATCGAACTAATAAATTTCAAGTGAAGCATAACAAGAAATTACTAAGAAAGCGAATACTGTACAAAATGATTGGCGCATTATCAAATTTGCCCGCTGCTTTTATTGTGCCCACTTGTGTCAAATTAGGTCACAAATTGTATACAAAATATTTTTTAAAGAAAAAATTAATTTCACCTAGAGCTTCCCTTTGAATTGAATAATTGGAGGTCATTACGTTTTTCCTTTTAGAGATCGAGAACAAATTTCTGTTATATATAGAGGCGGGTGGGGCTAAATAGAACAAGGACTATATTGAATTTGTTGATTTCTTGCAAGGAAATGTTTATTTAAATTAAAATATGATCAATTTTTTTTTTCAGGATCTTCGAGATATACGTAAATCAGAAGTTTAGTGCAGCTCGCATTGCTCGAATTCTTCTTTGACCGAATTTCAAAAGGTGAAACTACATGGAACAGTTGTTTTCTTTGTACTTTATCGAGTTTTTATTGAGCAATACAGAAAAAGAATAATAAATTTCATTCAATTGTGCCTCTGCTCAAGCTATATTTTTAAAATCAAATTAAAGGCGAGTTATGATTTACAGACGTTATTACACTGAGAGCTATTATATAAGCCAGGATGAGGTGAGGCCATATGGGCCGTTGTATGGAAGCCTAGACGAAACCGGCTGCCTCCGATGCGAATTTAATAGAGAAACTAAAGGATCTAAGTGCCCTTAAAGCACAATTCAGTTTAGTACAAATACGTATATATGGAAAGCTGAACTGAGTCTTCGGCAACGCATAGCTCGGTCAAACATATACACCACGACGCAAATAATCGCGGTTATGGTTTAAAATCTACAATGGATCATGATTTATGCCCGAATCATGTATAACCGTAATAGTTTTAGTTGCGATTCACTTTCGGTCATCGGATCCGAACCGAGAGATATTGCCACGGGAATCATCTAGGGAAGGGCTCACGTCACAACGTAAATCTCCCCGCGAAGGGCAGATTTACGTTGCGAGACTCAGCCTCGATGTGAAATACTGTATATTATATTTTTTTTGATTGATTGCTTAGTATTCGACTTTGGCGTTTTGCTGGATTTGACTGGGTTTTTCTTCAATAGACCTATGAGCCGGCATCATAATCCCAAGTTATAACAATTGCGTTGAAAATGTTGAAATAGCAATGGTCTTAAGGCTACGGGCACCATAGCAACACACCTGAAGAGATCCCGCCATCTTTATAACACGATGGCTTCACAAGCTTCAGTTAGTATAAAAGACAATGCGCAGATTATTACTGTTACTTCTCACTTCTAGGATAAAATGTAACTCGTGTGTTGATGCTTTACCCGTTCCTACCAGTATTTCAGGTGCGCCATAGTAGTTGAATCCTGATCTTTGAACTTTGCACTAAATAGTTATGAATTACACACAGCCTTTTTTGCACTGCACAGCCTTTTCTAGAAAAACAAGCTTTTTTTCCTCTAGTAATGGATGTCTAACCTAAAAATCACCTAAAAATTTCACCTAAAAATTATTATCTCTTTTGGCCTATACAACCCCGTAGAGTTATAGGGGCTATTTAAATAGTTGTCATTAGGTAATATTATTTCGTAAAATTGATGAGTTATACCAAGTCAGTGTAGCCATCATAAGTCATGTGATAGAAGAGCCTTTGACAAATGTATTAATATTTATTTGCTCTCTTGTGACATCGGCTGTTTTCGACGATAGCGGTAGGCAACGTTTAGGCCATTCTTTTCTGTTTAAAGGGCATAACTATATTCACTGATCCTGCTGAACAACTTAATCAACATCTGTTGTTGCTTCGACATCAGGCCGTCATTTTAATTGGTGGCTTCGGCCAACAGAACTCAGTATCTTCATGCAAAAGTTCACTTAATTATTCCTAACTGGAGTGGCCTACTTGGGATGTCACTGACCGCAGAAGCTGAATACGTAAATTTGTACGATAAACAAAAATAAGAAAGTTTCGCTGGTCTTCAGCTTGCTTTAAACAAAATCGTGATGCATAAAATTTATGCAAAAAAAAAATTACTTCAGTACTTCGTAATAGTTAACAACGGCACAGAAATGAAAGAATACCATATATGAATAATCGGTGGGGAAACAATTAGTCGAGATTTGCTGGAAACCTTTCCGTATCCAAAGCAACAAGATGATTTGATACGACGGAAGTACGTTGTTACCAGTATGCAATATAGAGAGACCAATGATCAACGAACTGATGTGTCACCGAAACTGTCTAGCGGGTGCTTGCTTGTTTCATTATCTCATAGGCAGAAACAGCCGTAACGATTGCTAGTAACCATTAGACATCTAGTTTTCGATTTATTAAACAATGCCAAATAGAGAATATTGTCATTTCAGGTCTTATCGTTATTATTGTATGTATGTCCACTTTTACCTGTGACAGGTGCCTCGATGTCGATCATAGTCTTCTCCTGGCGCAGGAGGGCAGCGCCCTCATTGATGACCTTAAGAGCAGCTGCCTCCTCAATGCGGCCTTCATGGATAAAGTGCTGCTTAAGGACGTCGACGCGTGGCTTGCCGGTCTTTGCATCGAACACCTCGCTGATCGTCAGCTTGTGTGATGGAGGGAAAGGGACACCTAAAAACGCCAAAACCTCTCATGTTATTATGAACTTCTCTTGACGTCGACCAAAACCGCCATTTCCGTTTAACAGCTTATTCCGAAAAGCGAAATTGGCTTTTGGTTTGTTAAGAATATAATAGATGTTTTGTTCAATGTTTCCCTTTTCTAATTACTCGTTTATAGGTTTTTGATCCTTGGATTTTGGCAGGAACTCGACTTGAAGTGCGTTGTAGCCCACGGCTCCCAAGTCGTAAGCGATAACGCACTTCAGCATCTCGAGCATTATCGCCAGGAAAGCTGTGAAACCTGAACGTTTGGCCTCGCAGCCATGCGATTTCCCCGTGCGCCTCGTTTTGCTCGCTGCTGGTCAAGTGTTTTATAGCGTTGAAAAGCTCTTTACACTAAAAGGATCTTTGACTCTAGGAAGCCATTTTCAAACTTCGCAAGCTATTATACGTTTGGCTAGTATTTTCAGTTGTAGAGTTTTTGTCTGACACAGTACACTTGTTTGAAGTCTTCCTAGCGAACTTATATTTGAAGTTCGAACGCAAACTGAAGTCCTGTATTTGTTAGTCCTGTCCTGAAAACGTAATACAATCGTCGAACGATTTCGCTCTGCGACGGGGTAACTATTACCATTTTTATTACGTGAATGTGGATAAAAATATATCCGATACCTTAACATGCCGGTCATATATGTATATATATGACGCCTGCAGGCCATCAAGCATCAATTACATTATTTTCAAAACTTTTTTTTATCGAAGCCAGCGAATAGCCTACGATCAAACAAGCCGAATAAATATATATATTCTGTGAAAACATTCAGATGTAAATTTATACCTGATTGCTAAATGTTGAAATTAATATATTTAATTAAAGAAATGAACATTCTTGTTTCATTTTACATAAATAAATTCTTTAAATCTTAGGCAGCTCCAATCTTATAGCACAGATTCTTAACAGAATAGTAGGAGTAGAGGGCGATGTTGTGCCGCTTTTTCTAACATAAAAGATTTCTACATAAAGCGTCGTATTGCATCGTTATTATACAAGCCTATATCGTGCTTGCAGGTGGTTATTGCTTCTGCAACTAATGGCAACGTTCCCAACCTGTCGTTTGCCATCGTTGTTTGCATGAAGCTGCCGTTTGCTGTTCGGCCACCATGAAACGAGCCATATTTAGAGTTTACTAGGTGGTATTTAGCAAGGAGAAGGCAGACAGGATGAATAACTATAGCGTCTAATTCTCCATTCTTTGGTCACGCCCCTTAAGGATTCTTTCACTTTCACCAGTTTCCACCACCCACATATTTCGTAGTAGCGGCACCAGAAGCAGGACATCCCCTCCGCTAGGCTACCTATAGATACCCTAAGCTTGTCCTTGCATTTATTGTAACTGCAGAAGCTGCCTTCTCATCTAGATAAGTTGTCGCTGCAACAACCAGAACAATTAGTGACAATTTTTTATTATGTTTGCATCGGTGCATTGTAAAAAGATAAGGAAAGCGTAGTGCGATCAAACAAGCACTCAATAACTTGATATCAACAAATCTCATTTTATAGCTATTGAACACTCTTCTGTTCGACAGACACAAAAGCTCATACGTAGAAATTTTTTCAAACTATGCTGTACTAGCTGTCACACACTGTCCTCGCTTCTCCAAAAGACGATGGGTGCGCATTTGTAATTATTAGAGGATGATGAGCCTAAAGGCCTTCTCGATCTTCAGCCATCATCGATTGTGGTAGCTGAATGACACCTATCATTCTCCGGAGCTCGTGTTCATATTTTTTATGTTTTTCGTTTTTTTTTTTGGTAGCACTTATTCTTATATCTTCGTTCTGCCTGTTCGATCCTTCGTTTTTGAAATAGAAAAATCCTACGGCTACTCGATATGTATGATTTTCATGTTATCTGCCATATTTCCGAGCGACCCAGACTCTAGTACTGTTAAAAGTTTATTGATATTTTGATATAAGCAATAGATTCGCTTTCGAGTAAATTTAAGCATGTTAATGAGCCCATAGAGCGTACAACCATTCATAATTAAGGTCAGTGGTGTAATGATATGGACATCACAACAAAGGAAACTCCATAAAGAATATGTTTTTACGAAAACTGCGGCTTTAACAGTTGTAATAGCAACATTAAGTAACGTAGCATACAATGACATATACCTGCCATAGTAAAGTATTATACAAACACACGCAGAATCTTCCCAATTCTTACTTTCGTAATTCCGCCTTCCTTTCCATCCGTTCTTTTGACTTGCACCCTCTACTCGTGCCACCATATCGCTTTTGTGCAGGGGTTTGTGAATAATACAGGAAACTATTGTGACCATACCAGCCACACACTCCGCAACCCAGCAAGACCCCAAGAAAGCTACCGCTACTATCTCACGCTCTACTGATAACGCAATGCGCCCCCTATGTACGGCGTTGCAAACAACAGCAACTAAACGAGCAATGGGTGGTTTGTCCATCGCTCCAAAATTTTCGAGTTTAATCAAAGCCTTCCAAAAAGCGGGCGCGATGTGCGGGGGGGGGGGGGTAACCAACGAACGATAAGAAACAAATCAAACAGAGTTTTCTGCCAAGTTCTGCGACACTGCTACAGTAGAATTCTGCTAAACCTCCCGAATCGGCGTAACAGTTCTCATTGTACAAAATCACCCAATTCCAAGATCGCATAAGAATACACAGAACAGCACGTAAGAGGTAGGGCAAGCGGTCTGGGTACCCCAAGCTGGACGACGCGAGCTATACTCACGAGCGGTTATGGCAAAAAGTCTTCTACGTAATTGCGTTACAGATAAGAAAAAGCACTTTTTTACCGACTTAAAGCAATTAAAAAAAAACTGAGTCCCTTGCAAATAATTAATTATCATACTGTCTCAATTTTACCAATTGCAGTGGCAAGAATCCTCAAGTCAATAAACATGTATTTGACATCTGTAAACGTGAGACATCGATGTGTTCGTTCTTTATTATCTTAATGCATAATCTCAATGCTGATTAGTTAAATGTAGGACATATCGGCAAACAAAGCTATTTCGTCGAATGTAAAATTTTGGCTCAACGCATATTGGACGCAGGAGATTTGTATAAATTTATTTGGGTCAATCTGTGGTGACCCTAGGGGATCGTTGTCGGAGCACCTGACCATGAGCTTTTACAGAGTTCCATCTACATTTCCTAATGAGCTGTGGGCAAGGTTAGAACTGAAATACGGCTACGATTCGGGGTTTCACATAAACCCTATAATAATTATTATCTTATAAAATCTACTTTACTTAACAAGTTATCAACGAAACGAAACGAAGAAAAGGCGAAAGCCGCGGACATGGTTAACAGGATGACAAAGAGAGAGAAATTCTATCTAAGTCAAGCATACAAATTGTTAAATATAGGTGGTTGTCGCGTGGCGAATCTTGTAGCCATCTGCGTCATTTTCGCTGTGAGGCTGGGTCAATGATAAATCTTATTGCCAGCATAACGTACATGCAGAAACGTATGAAGCGTACGAGAGCTTAGGTATTCTCGCTTGCTACCTAATTCCCTCCCGCTCAAACCTTCAGCCCGAACTATACGTATCACAGCAGTTTCCACGCTCTACAGAGTACGTATAATGAAAGACGGGAATTTCTGTAAGCGAAACGTGGACAGACTTTTATTTCTAGTTCTCTCGTGCTTGTAGAGCCCCGTTGCGGTTATTATACCATCTACTAACAAAAAATCGGTTAATTTTTTCGTCCCATATCTAGCTTCCGGCGTCTACCATCAGCCTGCCACGTCGAATTATTAGACTGGTCGATCGCTTAATGTCTGCGTAGCTCCTGTCCGTCGGTGCAGTTCTACTCCATTGCGTCTCTGAGTCCTAGGTTGCGTTGTATATCGTCAGACGTAACGACATTGTCGGTGTTTGTGCTATTATAGGTAGTGTCACCGATATCGTCATTTCTGCCGGTTGAAGATACCGTTATTTTGTCGGTAAAAATCTATACCCAATGTTGTGCTGCTCCGCACGTTGGTTAATCAAGTTACAGGAATGATTTTCGTCTGCGTTTTCGAAGGCCAGTAGCCCTTAAATTTTTCCTGACGTCACTCTGTTAGCAATGGACAACTGCAAGACATTGGAATACAAATGGCGGCAACTCAGGAGACACCCCGGTAATGTGTGAGCACATTTCCACGAAGAATGAAGAACAGCGACGGCAAACAGTGGCTAAAGGGAATAAGCAGGAAGAAGCAGACCATTGTGTTACGGCTTGTGTCTTAGCAGAATAAGATTTCTACGGGGAAAGAGGTAACTCATTTTATTAAATCAGCACATCGGCCAGGTACGTTTGGCAGTTTTGCCATATGCGTTTGTTCTGAGCGTTCTACTCCGCTTGGCTAAAAGCGGAACACTTGACGTTGCTGTCGTATACTCTCCCTAGGATATTTCCCTGTATCCGTGTTTCATTTTTATATTTTATGAGAATTAAATTGGGATATGAACCATTATTACACAATGACGGAATCATGAACAACTGCGTAGGCGTAAAAGCCTCACCGCTTTCAAATGGCAGCCTCGTATGCATGAATGTCATTCGCAGAGAGGTTTTACTAATTTCGAAAAATTAACATGCGTTGTATTTGCAAGGGGTGTACAGATCCTTATTGGGCAATGTACAGGCGCCTCGTCTAAATTTGGACGAACTTTGCGATGTTGTTTACCATAGTAGGCGGACGCCCGTCCGCTATTCTTAGTGCCAGACGAAAGCCAATTCCTTCTCGAACAAAACTACAACTCACCACGGTGAAAAAAGCGGCGTCATTTTCGTGACCTGAGCCAGTATCAGCTAATGTATATTTTTTTTACATGGGACAAAAGGTATAAACTTTCTTTTTCCTGTCTAAAATGAATGGTCGAGGTTATTGTTATGCGGTTTCTAAAGAAAATTCCATGAGTCAACGCGAACTATCCTCAATAAAGGTTAGATTTAAGGGACCGAAAATGATACAAA